CCTGCCACACATCTAATAATGTGGGGTCAAGAACATGGTGTGGAGAGAGCTAACAAAGCCCCAGCTCCTGTGGCGGATGCTTGGGCTGAAGGATGAGGACGTCAGAGAGAAGGTCCTGGCAGCCAGTGAGCGGGTGGCAAGGGCCTGGGGCGCAGGCTCAGCAACCTCGGATCCGTGCTCACGGCTCACCCATGGGGTGGGAAGTCCCACACCACGAGCACGGAGGCCAAGATCTGGAAGAAGAGAAGGGAAACTGCACAAAAGCTCCACGGGAAGAGGCTCTGCGAGGGGGGCAGTGGGGAGACTGCGGGAGACGCCTCACCTCAGAGACAGACACGTGGAGACCAACTAGGAAGCTACTGCAAAGATTGGCCTCACCACAGAGCAACGGAGCTCCGTCCAGAGGAGGCAGTACGATGGGGACGCTTCTAAAGCCAGAGCCAGCCGCTCTGCAGAGAGACTGTGAGCGCTCAGCCTGAGCATTCAGACACTGCCCTGCGGAGGTGAGTTGCAGCAACAGACACAGAGCTAGGGAGTGGTGTCTTGGGGTGGCGCTGACACCCACTGAACACCCACAGGGAAAGGCTACTGGCAGCTGGGTCCTGTGCCAGTTAACAGATGGCGTTTAAAACTGGATGTGGGACGGGACTGCAAACCGGTGAGTGCGAAGAAGCCGAAGGGAAAAGAGGGGATGCTGTGAACACAGAGGGAGAAACAACAGCAAAGACGACCACTAAGTTACTAGGAAAAGAACGTTACATTCCTAAAAACAAGGTATGGTTGTACCTCTGAACCCCAGCTATTCAGGAGGTAAAGAAACGTGATCCACGAGACTCTAAAGTCTACAGATTCAAGGTCCTAGTCACATGCTTGAAGTAGGCAGGCAGTAAGACCAGGAGGGCCTGCAGGGAGCAGAAGGAAGTAGTTAGAGCCACAGCCCAGACCAAGTCCACACCAGCAGTCAGGATAAGGAGCGTGGCACATTCAGGCCCTGATTCCAGTGGCCTGAGTAGATAGAAGTGGGGAGTAAGGAGAAGCTCCCAGCTAGTCAACTGTTGGCTCCCTATGGTGAAGAACTATAGGAAATGGAGGACAGAAATGGAAAACCAGAGCATGGCTGAGGGGTGCCAGAAGCAGCAGCTACTGCTAAGGACAAGGCCCAGACCACACAACAGGAAGACAGACCACCAGAAGAGAAGGAGCTGGAGCTTGCAGTGCTCTGGGAAGGCAGTGAGCAGGGAACAAGGCCCCCACCGCAGGAGTGAGTCGGAGAGGGACGAGGGAGAGTCGGTGATGAGGGAGGAGGGGGAAAGAGCACATGGGCCGGCCGGACAGTGAAGAGGGTGAGGGGTAGAAATGGTGGGGAAAGACCTGGTGGGGGGAACATTAGAGAATGGGGACCAGAGATGATGATGGGGTGGGGAGCATTTGGAGTGGAGCACACTGAGGGG